CTTCGGCTCGCTCGGCATTGGTATGCAAAAAGTGTAGTGTGTGTTGTAGGTATACGTTATGCATATTTGAAGCGCAACTCTACGTATTAACGAGAAAAATGGCGTTAAACCTCGACAATATACTTAGGTCGTATGTTGCTATATACTGTAATCCTCGATGATTTTTACCAATCGCAAAGCTCAAGTTAATGCTCTAAAAAGACAATTTCGACTACTCGCGTTAAATTTTTCATATTTGTACTAATTTTCGTCAAAATAAAGTCCCGACCTAGGACACCCCTTTGTTTATCTTGAAATGGACTCGTCCATTAGTTTGACGTTTAGTTTTTTTAAAATGGCGGAAAATTCTTATTTGAGAAAAATTAAGGAAAATACGCCTTTTCGTGGCGACAAAAGGCTTCCATCCGACTACCCAAAGCAAAGTCACCTCCAATACCGCATGAACCTGCATGAACCCCTAAAAAGCTAACTTGGCAAAGCTAATTCTACACACCATTTCCTTCCAGTACAGACAGACAGATTGTTTGAATTGCTACCATCCAAATTAATACATTTGTTGAATAGTAAACCCATTGTTTCCCAGTGGGTATACATAATATGTATTCCTTAGAAAACAAAGAGGGTTTATTTTATATATGGAAATCAAGCATGACGCCCTTCTAACATTCTTAGACATTTTTAGTGCCTTACAATTTCCCCCTTTTACCAATCATAATATATCAATTAAGTGTGACGCGACATATTTTTTGTATTGTCCAAAAATCCCAGTATAAAAAATGATTTCCAGCGGTGTCTAGATCATAGATAATTAAATTATCTATGGTCTAGATATACGCCAAGGATACTTGTCATTTGAACGGTGTCTCTATATACGCCAACGGTACTTCATGTTTGGATTTTGAAATCGGACAATCTATCCGATTCTACAAATGATGAATTTTCAGAGAATAATTTACGTACCTATAGGTAACGGGCGATCAAAAATGAGTTGCTGTCGAGTCGCCTTTGGAAGTTCAACTTAAATACGATTTTCCATGAAACAAAAATTTCAAAGGCGACTCGACAGCAACTCAGTTTTGATCGCATAGTATAACTAAATAATTATAGCTAAGTAGAATCGGATAGGTGTTACTTTACAATTAAAATGAGAAAATTGAATATATTTAAAAAATAAATAACTAAATGTGTGTTGACACGTTGAAAAGTTACGGGTGCGGTTTTGAATCCAAAGGTCATCCAGAGGGTTTCGTTTCAATTTGATGGGTACCATTAGCCAAGTGTAGGATAAAGAAGTAAATTTGAATTAATGCATTTTTGCTACCAATTTTTTATATAATAGAAATAGGCTATTTCGTCTGTACATTGTGAAAAAATTGTTTAGAGTCCCGAAGGCTTTTTCAACTTTAAATTAGGGTCATGATCAAAAAAGTTTGGGAACCTCTGGTCTAAGCTATCAACTATAAATAAACTAGGTAAATATAAATATGTGGATATCAAAAGGTTTATATTTCACGTAGAATCCAAAAATATAAAAAAAAAAGTTAAAAGGTCTACGCATTTATTGCGGTGGCGCTTTTTACTGCGTTCTCTAAACTAAACCGCACAAAAATTGACCAAAACAGAAAGAGCAAATATGTTAGTTACTGTGAATCAAGGCAAAGCATTTTGCAGTTTCCGCGACGAAATGAATGAAGAAATGAAACTTTGGATCAACCAATTTAACTAAAATGAGTGCATGACAGGAAGAGCACAAAAGTACAAAAACCTATGTATATCAAAGCAATGTGTCGTACAGTTTTCCCAATGAAATTGGTGCATAATTGAAGATTTTGGAGAAGGGAAGGGGGGGGGGGGGATTGTAGTTCACCACCAGAACACTTTAAAAATTTTTTATTTGAACAAACCGTTCCCGAGATATTCGCTCTTAAAGTTTTGACATCACCAATGGACATATTTCTTCCATCAGACGTCGCAATCGCCCTTTGTGAGTACCCTCTTCCGACAATCCGTTCTGGAGATATAAAGGAATATATCCGATCACGATAAGGAGTCGAGGAGAAAGACTATGGTTGGTAGAAATTAATTTCTTTCGTTCAGACCTTTCATTAGAGTACCATGAAGGATAGAACCAGTTCCACTCCCCCACCCCCATCTCACAATAGCACTTTTTTTTTAATTCCTAAAAAAATGCGCTAAAAATATAGAGCTCTGGCAGTTTGTAGGAGGAGAGAACAAGCGAGCACTGCATAGTAACTTTTGATCAACAATTGTACGATAAAGCGGTTAAATTGTTGACTGAGCCTCAGACAGTCAAAAACATATGTGTGCGTTTAGGCTCTTTGGCTAATGGGTAAGATATGGACAGCTTCATGTTATGTATATGTATATTGCATTTTTGTCTAACGTCATATATTTTATGGCGGGAGTGGTTTTGACGAAGTATGTTGTCAGGTTTACGCAAAAAACAATGGTATACATGATAGGAGTATAACAGCGCCCTAAGAGCTCATTTCATCACTCAACAAGACCTGATCACTCTTCTTCTCGAAAAGATACACATCGATAAAGGAAGCAAAGGACCAATTGAAACCGTTGTTCCTTAATTTTCTAACTGGATATTCTATACTAGAAAATGTCAAAGAGAACAAAATTCCTGATACCCTTCAAGAAAAACTAAACAGTGTGATTGAATAAATATCTATTCAGTTCTATGGTTCCATAGAACTCATCAGACTTTTCATTCGAACCAAAAGAACTGGAAACTGGGACTTGCGCATCCTTTGCATAAGGCTTACGCTGCCATATTTTCATCCTGCAGGATCTTACCCCTATGTCAAGTCAGGCATCTGATAATCTTGAAAACTTTATGCCGAAGAACGAATACGAAAAATATATAAAGCAGTATTTCACTATTCGTCATTCGGGGGGCTTTTTGACTGACTCCCCACAGACCGAGTCATCGAACAGGATCTGATTAGAAACTTCTAGGGAGAAATGACACATGGAAGAGGTTGTACTGTTCCTAGGAGTCTATCAAGCCGGCACTGAAAACGTTGACTTACTCTATAGCTATACTTGCCGTTGGCAACTCTGGAAAAAAACTACAAGCAGAGCCACCTACCTTTCAAATCGAAACGATGGACGTTTCGCGGCACTTTTGAATTTGGATGGCAGTCGGCTCGATATGGGTGGCACGAATGAACTCCTACGTTGTGTAATCGGTTCTTGTATGTGTTGGGACGTGAGACATAATCGGGAAGCGAATTAAATAAAAGACAAAACTTTTGTGCGCAAGAAATGACAAGAACACATAAATATATTACGCACACAACTAGACCGTGTCAGGGAAACCTTCTACGGGACAAAAACCCCGGCATAGGCCACACAAATGCATGAAATAAATCACCTACAGCAATAAAATGCAAGAGAAAATACACATAAATAAAACATCTCAAATTGTATGATAAAAATCAGATAATCAAATCAAAGGCAGTTAAATAAGTTCATAAAAACGAAATACACAAGACATCATAAATGCGGTGGAAAACATAATAAATCAATTCAGTACAAAAACACATCAAAATACCTGTACAATCAATTGAGATAACACAACTCGTAAAATAATAAATGGCATGTACCTAGGAAATGGGTAGTAGGTCCAATGTACAACTGTGACCTTCAAATCTACTGCCCTGCAGATAAATTTCAAAAATGCGGTCTAAAGAGATGAAAATTAATATTATAAATTTATACAAAGGTGTCACCGTCATTCACCCTGTAAATGATGCAGATGAACTAATTCTCAAATTAAATGTCAGGAATAATAATATTATGATTGTAGCTACGGAAACTTGTAATGCTCATTGGCGGAGCACCATAAATTAATAGTATTAAGTGTACTTCATCCAGCCACCAGCCGAACGGCTGGAAAAGTATATGCAATAACTGAGCTACAAACTACAATAGAGAAGTTATTCCCTTTGCTCATCCAGTTTCTATAATTTTATTAATGATAAACCTAACTTCAATACCGAACGAAAAATCTGTTGATGCAAGAGATTTCAGTACTGCGGTCAAACACAATTCTTACCAATTGCCAAAGAGCCATTATGTTCTACGGGACACCTACCCTCACAGGTCAGTCCGACCGAGGTGCCGAAAACTCGTCGATCGCACGGACGGACGGACAAAAGCCGGTAATGGGGCATTTTATTTTTTGAAAAATGCGATCTTGATGGTATATGATTTTTTCTAATTCGTGCTTTCTTCCTTAGCTGCTCACCGCACATTTCTTTTTTACATCTAAAAATTGTAATTATGGCTATAAATACTTAGGTAGATACAATTCACCTTGGCCTTATAACAATACCGATATGCGATAATAATCATTTTTCTGATAAATTATAAACAGAATTAGTCAAGGCCAGCGTCAGAGATTAGTTCCAGCAGCCCAATAATTTTTAATTAACACTAGGTAGGTAAATTAATTGCCATTAAATTGGCTTGTAACGAATTAAAAATTCAAGCCAAGTAAAGTTCAGCAACCCTGCCGCTATTTTTAAATGATGCATGGGAAAAAGTGAGTTGCCAACTTATTTTCAGGGCACTTTCCTCTCATTCATGTGTTTGCAGATTACGCCAGTTTTTCGGGTTTGCAAAATCCTTGACCTACTTTTAGGTTAATTCATTTAGATGAGAGGTGCGCTGAAAAGCATAATTAATGGCCCGATGTAAAGGCAAACAAATTTAAAATAGTGCGCTTTGCATTTGTTTTTCCCTATAATCTATTGATTTCATTTATGCTGTAGTCCAAGAGGTGGCAGCACTTCCCTGTGCTAATTTGAACAGGACCGTAATTAGAATAATGTTTGCTGGATAAAAATAGGAACTGGGGTAACTCCCTCGAATTTGTGCGTAACGTGCACGAAATATCCATAGCCATACCAAACGCATGAATCATTTGCTGTGGTCGGTGGAAGGAAATGAGAGTCTCAAATAAAATTTATCCCGGTAAGGACCTGTGTTGTTGTGTTTTGGCAATAATCGACACTACAGCTGGTACTCATTCAATGCGCTGCGTTTGAATTCAAAGATACGTTTCTCTAAAATTGCGTAAAAAATATTAACAGTTCTTCAATTTCGCACATAATCTCGCTTCTTGGTTTCGAGTTTTAATACGAAACAAGCACAATGAGTCCTAAGCATCTAAGCAAAGGTAAGTGTCGATTCATGCACATTTTTCGTATTTTCGTTTTCGTGTCATAATTCAGAAAATTCGATTTCAAAAGAAATCCAGAACACCTAAAAATAGAAAGTCAATAATAATTCTGACGTAAGCCCCTTATTTACATAAGGTACCTGTATGTAAATTAAAATTTTTACTCCTTGAAAGGACTTTGCCATTTTGTTTCTTTAATTATGCTGTAGGTACTAAAATTACCTATTCTTCCGCTTTCTTTAAAGGTGTTCATGTTTATTTTTATCGATTATCTCATCCGGCTTATTTCACAATTTCTCTTTCTCAGGGGCACTCGATAAACCTGCATTTAGTCATGACCTAATAAAGAGTAAATGCGCGCGTAAAATATTCGAAATGTTCGCGCTCATTTATCATTTATTATTGTATTTCTAATTAACCAATTATTTTTAGGATCTAAGCTTCCTCCTCCAGTTCGTGGGAAAATTCGTCTGTACAGCAATCGTTTTTGCGCTTACGCGCAAAGGGTCCATCTAGTTTTGGACGCCAAAAAAATTCCGTAAGTATTTTTTTTATTGAATTGTATGATATTGTTGCGCTTCATGTAAGTTAGTCAATTCTTTTGCACTCAGCCGAAATAGCTCAGTTGGGAGAGCGTTAGACTGAAGATCTAAAGGTCCCCGGTTCAATCCCGGGTTTCGGCACAATTTTTTTTTATTTGCGTTTTATTCACTTTTATTTATGTTGAAATGCACGTTTTGGTTTGGTTCCTACCTCCATCATTAGTTCGAATTCCGGTTCCGGTGGTTCTAAGATTATAATAATTTTCGATTCCGGTTCTGATGGTTCTCACGTTGGGTTTCAAGTTTATTTGAGGTTGAATCCAGGAATGTTGAAGTAACTTAATTTTATTTTATAATTTTATTTTTTATTTTATTTTTATGTATCCTCCTTGTTTTTGGGCCCTCCAACAGGCATGGCGCCCAATTACAGAGTGACCGCATATGCTTATTTAGAAGGTGCCAGGTCTTAAGATGGTCTATACTACTCCCGATATTTACTCTTACAATTAGGAAAAACTGCGCAGGAAAGACCTAAATTCGGAGTATTTCAGAGAGTAATAGTGCGTCTTTAGTTTCTAACCACCCGCCCTCCCCGCTTCCTTTTTCTAATGTATTTTAAAACAAGTGATCAATGCCTCAAAACAAAAACTTCCTAAACGCACAGGAAATATCGCGGTTCCCCCTTTACCGAGATCGAAATTCCGGTCTCGATTCTGGAGAAAAATAATTTTCGATTCCGGTTCTGGTTGCTATTTTCGATTACGAAATGTGGGGTACTTAAGCTCGAAATCGAATTTTTGAGTTGAATCTTGAGGTTAAATCAGGGGATATCTTGAACCTTAACCGTAATTTTTTTCGAATTGGATGTTGAATCGAATTGAATTTGATTCCCGGTAAGTGGTAAGAAATTCAGTTTCATACTGGGTGGAAGTCTTGTGTCTAACTCTCTCCTAACTGAGCTATTTCGGCTGTTGAGATTTGCTCAGTAATTGTCAACTCACTTCTGGAGATCATCATAGTATTATTTTATTCTGATCTAAAAAAGTTTGCCGAAACCCGTGGATTGAACCGGGGACCTTTAGATCTTCAGTCAACGCTCTCCCAACTGAGCTATTTCGGCCCGTTGGAGAACCTTGCTCAATAATGCGTCACCTATTTTTGAGAATCCTCTTGTAGTCTTAATTTTAGCCAGAGACTTGCTATAACTAGACTGCGCTTAACGTAATCTAAAAGGTGTTGTCGCACAGTCAATGACACACACAATGCACCGTACGAGGGCAAAAATCGCTGGATGATTTTAATGCAGTATAATGAATAAGCTGTTATTTTTTAGATGTTCCGTTCATTAATCATTCTCGTGATTAGCTCGAATTATGTGAAAACAATAAATGTTCTGTTGGAATAAAACCAATAAACTTAGGTTTAATTGTGCGTGTCAACATGTACTCTGTCGATAAATTTTTAAATAATATGCTGATTTTCAACGGAATAAAGTATTAAGGGGCCAATGGATCAGAAAGCCATTCGAAGAGAACAAATGTATCTTCCCACCATAGGTTGCATTTGCGGGGAATGAAGCCCGGATTTTTAGAAGGTACCTACGAAGGTGTTAAACAAATAATGAAATACCGAGCGTTTTCGACTTTCCCATTCCGATTAAAAATAACGTAGAAATATTATTCCACACCTTTACCAGCAAGAACAACGGCAATACCTATTTGCCTATTAGGTATAGACCTAACTAAGTACTTACTGGTACTAAGTATATTTCAGTGTTTTTGTTACAAGAAAATAGCTAAGTCTTATTAAATGTTCCAATATGTGCGTGCGAATATTCGCATCAGAGAGTCATTTCAAAGCTTTTAACTAAAAAAAATCGTGAAGGAATTTGTTGCACGTATTCAAGCGATGCATTAAAAATTTGCCAATTGCTGAAATGTGTTCAGTGTTTTTTCATTCAATCCACAACCACACCGCGTTTGTAAACAAAAAATGGTTATCAGCAGTCTAAGAAAAATAAATAACAGTTACAGCCCATTTGGGGTTTTTGGATAAGGCATATATTGAATCAGGATCCGCTAAATAATCATATCTTACTACTTACTTCTTTAAGTTTTAAAGAGTATATTTTCCCATACGTGTTCACTTCACCAA